GGGGGGGGGGGGTGAGGGGTAAGTTGTGTCTACATTGTGGATTTCATACACTTTGCGGTATTACGTACAAGGGTGTATTTGCACGCACCCGTGTCGCATCGTGTTTACAACTATCATTTGTTTTGATTTAACGATATTGGCCGATTTATCAACCAGTCAGCTAAGCATTTTTTCTTAATTAATATTGTTAGAAACGCCAATACGACTAGGGATGGTTGATCAATCGTCTTCCTCCTCTTAAGAATTTTGTGATAAAAAATCGAATCGGCATTGACCGCGCTATTGATCCCTCCTCGCCTTTCCCAATACGAGTCCATTTCATTTGTCTTTCCGCCTGTTTTTCCCGTTCCCTGACGTTAGGGTTTGCCGTTTCACAGGCCTTATTCACCCCGTGCAAGGTCAACTATAATCAACTGGAGACAATGTCACTGCCCTGCTTTTCCTGTGCGCCGTAGAGAGAATGACAATTCCTCCGGGTTTCTAAAAAACCTGCTGCATTGATACCATTCAATTACTGTTCATTAGTCGGTGTACGACCGTTAATCAGGCTGAAATCTTCTGCTAGACCTCAGCTGGGACGGGGATCTGCAGGAGTTCCTCCCAGCTTCCTGTCTTGGCCGCTGTTTAGCTGTAGAGAGAAAGAGACGTGACAGTTTGGAATGTGATGAAGCTTTCAGCGCGGCGACGTCCTCACTGAACGTCTACTCCTCTCACGTCTTTGTCTGCTCGCTACCCGAAGTTCCCGGCATTAAACAGCGCTGTCTCCGAGTTCTAAAAAACACAGGCTCCCTGTGAGATTTACTGCATATGTGGGAAGAGAGTATTACAAATCTGATCTATCACTAAAAGGGAAGAAAGCTGGCAGATTTAATGATTAGAGCTTCATATGCATTGAATATGACGAGATGATGATATGAGAAACTGATTTATGTTTTCCAGCAGGCTAAGAGGAGGGAGGTGTCTTCCAGCCTCAGCACAATACGGTCAGGGATGTCCTGGTTTTTCAAGGGTAGGTTCATCAAAGCATAAAGCCTAGCAGTAGCTCACCGGCAGCACTGGGCTGGCAGCCCCCGCATCTTTTCTTCCACATCACCTAATGCACCCATAAAGAAACCACTAATACACTCTGCATTACCAGTTCCTCCCTTAAATCGCATGTCACCAGATCCGCGACCACCCCTTAACATCTGGGAGAGCTTTACGCCAGGGTTTATGGAGACCATCTGGTTGAGTGGGTTTTTTTGCCTCTCCAATCTCAGATGACTTATTCTGGTATTAAAGGCACCTGCACATCAAGGTGTTCCATGCTGAGAGCCCAGAATTATTCACCCCTCTTTTTTTTTAATACCCCGTGTCCTTTCCAATTCAGAACCACTCAGTCAAAATGCGAAGGATATGTTTCCTATTACTTTGAATATCCGCAGTCCTTTACCCGGTTGCCTCTTGTTTTTTTGTTTTTTAAGTACAAATGCTTGGTCTGGCTTTTATGTGACTGATCTAGAGAATTAAAACAACTGTGGGGAGAAAAAAAAAAACCCAACAAAGTAGATGCTGTACACAATTTGTTATTGCGAAGAGGAAGCCAAAACACAGTGTTTAAACAAAAACCAAAGCGCTGATGTAAATTTGGAAATTTACTCTGTTTGGGGAATGTGCCTTTCAGTCCGTTCAGGCAATTTCACTGTAATTGCCCATAAAAACAAGCCTTTGTTGTGAGGCCCGTTGAGTGTTTTCCCATCGTCCGCTATTGTCC